CACAGGTGTCTGTGTGGGAGGAGGGAGAAGCAGAAAAAAAAAAACAAAAGAGCATCCTCCCGAACGGGTTTCTTGTAATTCATTCTATTCAAAAATCGAAAAGTCCCATGAGAAGAATTTTTCCCCCATTATCACCCGGAATTTGAGTTAACCGTTAGAAAATCACAATAGAGAGTGAAAATTTCATTCGAGATAAGCGAATTTGAGTTAAATGAAGCTTTTAACATGGTGTCCTACGGGGTTCTGCCAGGACCAAGCATTGAACTTCGTGATAACAGGAATTTCGACTTATCAGGATTCGAGTTAACGAGTTTTCACTGTAATAACTAAAATAAAGACTTAAATCTTGTCACACCAGTGTCCCCACGACCACAAAATTACTCCCCTCNACTAAAATAAAGACTTAAATCTTGTCACACCAGTGTCCCCACGACCACAAAATTACTCCCCTCACAGCATCAATCTAGGCCTGATGAATCCCTGAGTGAAAGAGACAGACAACTAGACATTAGGCCCATGTCAGGCCTAATGAGATGGTGTAGGCCTGCCTTCCTGAAAACTAACCTGAGCACTGGAGCCAGCTGGAGGAGGAGAAGCAGGATCCGGAGGCGCCAGTCTCTCGGTGAAACTGGGTCACCCTTTGCATCATCTTTATACCTGGGAAAGATTGCAATAATTCAATTATGCCCAAAGGAGTAACAGCACCAGGAAATCAAGTTGATGCAGCCTCATTAGTAACTTAATTATTAGCCTTAGACTTTACAATCTGGCCAAAAGATGGGGTGAAACTTTAAATGAAAGACTGAGTCACTGGATTGCCAAGTAGTTTTAAAAGACAAGCCTAGCCAGTGATTTGGTCTCATCACCACAGTGGGCAATGAACACGTCTCCCATCTCTGTCTTCTGTCAGTCTCTGAGGCTTTGATGATGGTATTATGTGAAAACCACAATCTTGAATTTCAAGCATATAACATTACAGTATGCTGTTCCCACTGTGAACTGTAACTCGTGAATGTTTTTTTGCTTTGGGGACAGCCTCTTTCATCATAAGCCATGATAAATTTGGTCAATTCAATCCATCACAATAATTGACAAGAAAGGCAACTGACTCCATAAGCTCTATGAGAAGTTTTTGCTGTTCCTTTCACCTTTAAATCCTTTTCAGTAGGGGAAATCTGGCCATTTGATTCTGCCCTTTCTAGACCTTCAGCACTTCATCTCAATCATAACATCCACTCCCTAATTAATTCAAGTCTCGAAGGGCACAAGTGCCAATGCCTAAAACAATTTAGGCCTAGACTATATCTATCGGCTAGGCTAATGCTTTAGGGCAGGGATTCCCTGAGACTGACTCACCAGACCCAGCTGAGAACGGTGAGCACCAGCGAGGTGAAGATAACGATCCCGATCGTCAACCCGAAGAAAGCGTAATCCTCCAGCACGTAGTACCTGTGCGCGAGCCATATGTCGCTCCCGATGTCGAGCAGGTACGTGAAGATGGAATAGACGATGAAAAAGGCGTCGTATAGAGCGAATCTGAGATTCTTTGGCAGCCCGTCGATCTCGTCGACTCGAGCCCCGGCCGGGGCATCCACGACCGTCAGCTCCTCGGGCTTCTTCATCGACCCCGCGGACGAATCCGAGGCGCACACGGGCTCACTCATCCCGACGACTCACGGGAGAACCGCCGAGTCGGACGGCATCGTCGATGGGCACGCACGTGACGTGTTTGGATGAAGGCGAACCGCCATCTGCGCCTCGCAGGGTTGTGCAACTTCACCTTCAACCTTTCATGGATGAAAGGGTTGCGCCGGTACTAAACATGTCCTCAGCTGCAAGTTGTTTCATCGAGCGACACATTTCGTAAGTCAACATGTTTTTGTGCATTATCTGGCAACTTACGGTCGGTTCCCGCTGCCGCACACGTCGCGAATGAGAGGAAAAATAAGCAAAGGGTTAAAACTGAATTTAATTTCCATGACTACGCCATGCACGAGATTGCCATCTTTAACCTCCTCGGATTGATCCTAGAAATTACTTTCAATATTTTCAAATCGCTAATTTTAGAATATTCTTAATTAATTGAGAAATTCAACGGCAAAAACTGAAAACCGAGATCGGGCATCACTGGCCGCCTGCCTCCCCGGTCTGCAGAGCCGAAGTGACAGCCCTGGGAAGGCTTTCTCATCGTCTCACGCAGAGGAGGAATCAGGGACATAGTTATCGAGTGTGCAAAACATTATCAGTGGCAACCGCGGTGCGCGCCTTTTCGAGACAAAAAATTATCAAGAGCCATGTGAGAATTACGATGGCGCGAGAACGATTCGGTCTCGCTTCGTAGAAAATGAACGTGCGAGGAAATTTAATGATTCCCAAATCGTCCGTGTCTTGCTTGGGAAAAAGCGGGGAAGAGGCCACTTCACTCGGGGAGCAACAATTTGTTTAACCATGCCGGTAATTTCATGACTCGATAATAGGAAATTGGATAGGGTGCCCCATTGGATCCCATGCGCCAGGGCCCAACGACGAGTGAATCCAACGACGAGCCACACCAGTTTGGATCCCCGGGGAGTCTCAAAACGCAGAAGACGTCGGCCTTGACGAGTCAACATCGTCTGTTTTCCATACCCGACCGCACAGACGCAATTCCGCCCCACTTCCCCAAGGACAGACCGAAAATGCGGCGCAAACTGACCGATGCGAAGAAGACGGGTAAACAAGAACGACCGCAAGCGGAAATAGGAAGCGGAGAGGAGGTGGATGACCATGAGGTGAACAAGATGAATGACCATCAGGCAAGCAA